CGATGAACATCCCTTGTGTTTTCCTCCTACCTGGGGCCAGTGTGGCTTTGGACTCAGAGGGGGTCAAGGAAGGCCCCTTAGAGAGGCGGCATCTTGGCTGAGTTTTAAAGATGGGCGAGGGTTAGGCAGTTGTGGGGCAGGTGGGTTATACAGGAGGGCATCCTAGGCAGAAGGAATTTGGGAGCAGCCCTTGACCCCTGGTCAGGAGGAGTGGGCAGATCTGATCTTCTAGCTTGGTTGGTAAGGGCAGGACAGTCGAGGAATGTGCAGGAAAGCTGCCTGTGCAGCACTCAGCGCCCTGCCCCAATCATCATGGAGATATTAACATGTACATGGCCCCCAAGCCGGTGATTTTGCCCAACCTAGAAACGAACGCCCACCAATCTTCCTAGCTAAAGCCAGTACAGGCCTCCATGCACGAGGCACTCTGGAAGACCTGTGAGATTAAATACCAGATTTTTGTGTTTGGCAACCTAAAACACATTAGAATAATTCCCAATACTCTCTGCCTTTTGAGATACGACCTTTGGTGATATATTTTCTGCACATGTACATGTTTTTCACTCTTTTCCTCTACTGAATTCACGGGTGGCTAATATAGGTCCCCTGAGAGCCTGACGAGTTCCTAGACCCCTAAGGACTCCCATTTTTGCTTCAGTTGGCTGTTAGGCTTGGGACCTATGCTTCATGTCAGCACTGTATTTCTTTTTGTCATAAAAAGGGCATAAAAGATGAAGTTTTAAATTAATTGCACAGAAGCAGGCTACTATATAAATCAAGACAGGGAAACTCTGGGTAGGAGGGGCTGCCCCTGACATCTCAGGGTGCATAGATCAGCCAGTGAACAAGAGTCTGAGACCTGCCCGGAAAAGCAGCTCTAAGGGGTCTCAGTATGAAATTCATGAATGTTCATATTCAAAAAATAAACTTGAAGAGTGTAAGGACCCTCCCAGTGAAAGGAAGAGCCTCTCAGATGACCCTAGTTCTGGCTCTGACACCTCAGGGTGTGCTTGGGCTTCATCTGCACGGCTGGCACTCTGTCCCCTGCATCCTCCACCCTCAGCAGTGTGAGCTCTCCCCAGTGACCAGGGGAGAGGGCCAGCCTGGGAGCCCCACTGCAGCAGGACTGGCAGCGGGGAGGGAGCTCCTGCTGCCCCACCTTGGCAGAGAGAAGGAGCAAGAGAAGATCCATCCATCTTCAGCAGATCTAAACCCATCCATTACCTGAACACAGGCCATCCTATTTGTCTTGCCAGGTGAATCTTAATCCCTAAAAATAGTTTACCTTGTGTCACTTTATTTTCAAATCTGAACCTTCCAGAACATCTAGGCCAAACACTGTACTATACCTAAAACAACCATCCACGTCCATGCATCCCCCCCAAGACAAGTGACATGCAGTCTGACCTACTTCCAGATTTCCTCCTCTCTCTGCAATGGAGTTGTTTTTCACTGAGTGTACAATGACCTTTGTGGCCTTCATCGCCATTTTCTACTGCTCCATGTGACCCTGCCCCTGTCCCTTCCTAGTGGCCTGGACATCAGAAAAGCTGTTACCTTTACTGGATTCAGCAGTGTCCCCTCCTACTTTTATGTTCACCCAGAACCTGTAAATGTGACATTATTTGAAATAAGGTCTTTGCAGAGGCAATCAAGTTAAAATGAAGTCACACTGGACGGGCCCTAATCCAGTGACTAGTGTCCCAACAAGAAGAGGGAAATTGGGACACAGACACACAGGGAGAAGAGCAGGGAGTGGAGTGACACATCTTCCAAGCCGGAGAACTGAGGATTGCCAGCACCCACCAGGAGCTGCGAGAGAGGGAGGGAACAGATCCTCCCTCAGAGCCTCCAGAAGAGCCAGCTCGGCTGACACCTTGAATTTGGACTTCTAACTTCCAGAACCGTGAGAGAATACATTTCTGTTGTTTTCAGCCACCAAGTGTGTGGTAATTTGTTA